ATCGGAGTGAACGACTGTCCTTAAGGTCATATGTTTTGGATTCAAGGAGACAGCGGATCTCCCAATTTATTTGAGTGGAGATTGACCTGCCTGTTCCATTTCGATTCTTTGCTAATGTCTGTAACGTCAGAACAAACAGTTACCACATACCTTTTTGGCGTCAGCTATTCTGTTTGTTTCTCTTTGGCGAAAAAGATTAATCCTTAAGATTTAAATTTAAAATATTTAATATGAAAACTTAAGTCTTAAGTGTTGAGTCTATTATTAAAATTGAGTTACTTCTTGGGGGAATGAGGAAATGGTAGGCGGTTGAGTTGAGGAATAAAATCCAACATTGCTTCAAAATTTAAATATAATTTGGGTTTCTTTAATCTATATTTTAAAGCACAAGTTAAGGCAGTTTTAAATATATTTTTAATACAGTATTTTACATAAAAAATAAAAAATAACATTAATTTTAACATTTATGATATATAAATATTTTTATTGAATAATTGATAATTTTAATATCAATTTTTTAATTTTATTGTAAATATGAATAATAGAAATATAATAGATACATTATAATTCTGTGCCAAATCCCATGTAATTTTAAACTTTATTAAAAAACCAACATATTAAGCTTATGAACGTAGATGGCGAAGCTAGGGGGTCCTGGTTCCTAAGCCTCCTAAACTTTTGAAAAATTATTAATATAGTTCATTAGTTTTAATTTTTATTATTTTATCTTTAAATTTTTATTTATCTTATAAAATTTTAATTTAGAGTCTTTTGTTTATAATTTGAATTATACTAAATTGTAAAATAAGAGCCATTAAATGAAAAAAGAGCTCCAACATCAGGAGTCTTACCTCCTTTCAATAATTATGGTTGTGCAATTAATATCATTCGGATTATATAATACTTTTTCCTTTAATTTATTTCTTTATCAATGTTTCATTTTGCCCACCTAAATTTTTTTCTAGCTTCACCACTACTTATATATATATATATTTATTTATTTTATTTTCATCACATCTGTTCAATATAATCCCACTCACTTGTTCCTAACATAAACGTGTTCAATATCAACCAAATATTGATTTGGACTTTCAAGGGCTTCTTGTTCTTGGGCATTAATGATTTATAATTTTTTGGATAATAATATATTAACATGAAGGAACTTAGTTAAAACCTACTTTTAGCCCTTTACTTTAATAAATTTATAAGTTTTAATCCCTCATCTTATATTATAACACTTTTAGTCCTTTACCTTAATAAATTTGTAGGTTTAGCTCATCACTTTATATTATGATACTTTTAACCCCTTACTTATACAAGTTGAAGAAAATAACTCTTATTTAAAGTTAGGTTATAACATTCTGTTAACTTACTGTTAATTTTATTACCTGACCATTAGCGTTTCATTAGCATTTTATTAATGGAACTAACAAATAAAATTGAATTTAAATTTCATGTTTTCTATAACAAAATGCTAACAGAATGTTATAATCTGATGTTAAGTGAGAGCTATTTTCTTCAATTTGCATAAGTGAAGGGTTAATTATATTATAATATAAAGTGAGGGGTTAAAACCTACAAATTTATTAAGATAAAAGGCTAAAAATATTATAATATAAGATGCGGGCAAAACCTACAAACTTGTTAAGGTAAAAGGCTAAAAATAAGTTTTTGCCAAGGAACTTGACATCTTTTTCAGAAACCTTACCATATTTATTATAGTAATGGCTGAGGAATGGAAGGTTTTGACATGATAGCTATAATCATATATTGAAATGGCATCCATTTCAGAAACCTTACCATTTTTATTATAGTAAAATTTCCTAAGTTCTTTTTTTGACAATATCTTTTTTTTTTTTTTAAATTTGGGTCGACATTATTATTTTGGGAAATCTTGCATGGAAAGAGATAGGAAAATTTTTATTAATTTCCTAAGTTCTTTTTTTGACAATATCTT